GGTAGGATCTAACCTGTATCCTTGCCTGTGTTCGGTCGAATTCGGTTCGGCTCACCCTCCAACTGCTCTCTAGGCGTCTTTTCCGGCGCTTCATCTCTCTCAGCTCCTCGGTAAACCAGGGAGCCAATTGAGATCTGCGCCGGGTCAGAGGCCGCAAAGGCACGACTCGGTCCAATGCTGCGGCAGCGGCCACTTCCCAAGCCGCCGCCAGATTTTCAACCGAGTCGTAAATATTACAGTTTCACAAACTAGAAACTCCTCACTATCTGCACTACTGGAATGTGAAGGAAACCAAAGGTAGGTGGTGTTGCTTTTCAGTTGTTGTACTGGTGCTTTGGAATAGTTTCCTAACCAAGGTCAGACCAACCCCTTCCTTAATGGCTTTCAGAAAGATGTTAAAAAGTGAGTGGTTTCAGGAAATATTCTAGTTAAGTTCATGAACTCCATTAACTTGTTTCTTAATTTTATTTTTGTAGTTTTATCTGGTTTTGATTTTTATGTTTGTTTTATATTTTGTTTATGTTGTTATTTTAGAGCTGGGCTTTGGTTGTGCTTGTGGCTTATTGGCACATATGTGACTAAACTGAACTGTAGAATATTTATTGTTAGTAGGGAATGTGCATGCAATATGAATATAATTAAGGTTGGTTTATAACTCACTTTCTCCCCATTTTAAACAGCATAAATGAATGCATGTATGGATCTTAATCCTGTAATATTAAAGCAAAAAACAAAAAAGAACCTTTGCTGAAAGGGCATAGGGCCCAGTGTTTCTCAACCGTGACAATTTTAAGGCATGTGGACTTCAACTCCCAGAATTCCACAGCCAGCAATGCTGGCTGTGGAATTCTGGGAGTTGAAGTCCACATGCCTTAAAATTGTCACGGTTGAGAAACACTGGCATAGGCAATCTCCTAAATCAAGTCAGATTGAATAGGATCAACACCTTCAAGGTATTATATATTCAAGATTGTAATCAGAAAGGACTCTGGAAGCAGGTATTTTCAATCATTGCCTCCACACTTTGGCATTCTCTGCCCCACAGAGATCCCATCTGCTCTTTCGCTCCTAGCTTTGAGAAGGGAGTTCCTCCTAGGGTAAGATGAAGACATGTTGTGAGCAAAGGCTGGAATCTGGTGGAAACACGACCTTGTACATTTTCTGCTTATTTTTATTGGTTTTGTCAATTTTGCTTTTACAAGGGTTTTATTTATTATTTTTCAGAGGGTTGTTTTTACCAGGTTGTTTGCCACCTAGAGACTCCAAAAATACACAGCATATAAATGTAATGTAATGCAATGCATAATATGTGTTTATACATTTCTAAGTGATCCTAAAGCATATCCTAAGAACAGGTACCTTGTTTTTACTGCAAAACAGTGAGTCTAGCTGCTAGTTAAAAATAAATACTGCCTTAAATCAGGATAGTGTTTTCAACAGAAGATCCGGTTTTGAATTTTTTAAGTTTGCATTATTAACGTGCCTTCTAAACACAAGTTAGAACCGTATGATTCTTTGTAATACATTTATAACAATAGTCCTGGGGGGAGGAAACAGTCCCTAGGAGGCACTTACCCAGGGATGCCGCCTGCTTCCATCTTGTTAGCTACAGTTACATCTGTGGACCATACGTCATACTGCCAACGTTTCTGCCCTAGGACTCCACCAAGGACAGCACCACTGTGCACCCCCACACGCATGTCCACATCTGTTTTGGTCTTCTCTCTTACATAGCTTTAGAAGAATAAATTAATAATAAGCAATATTTATCTTAAAAGAATGGTTATTTCCCATACTTGGAAGGCTTTGCTATGGCTGCTTTTATTGTGCATAGAGCTTCATTGCTGCTAAGGGTGACAGGAAGAAAAAGAAAATAAACAAGCAATTTATTGCTATAATTGTTTAGGTTCCATTAAGGGAGCACAAACTTCCCCAATATAGTAATCTCCAGATGTGGGTAGACCACAGGGGCCCTAAATCTCAGCCAACATGAACAAACTCAGGTTTTGAAAAGGATTTGAATACAGGAATAGGCACACTAGTAAAAATTAATTCTAAATGCAAGATATGGCTTTTTAGATAACACCAGGGGAAAAAAGCTATAACTCAGTAATAGAGCTATTTCTGTACAGCGCAAGGGTCCCCCGTGAAACCTTGCCCATTTAAGTACGGCTGGAAAAACTATGAGCTCTGTCACTGTCAACAATCCTGGTTTAGAGCACTGAGGGAACATAGTTTTGTTTATTCTTGTGAAATCTGAACTTGTGCCAGATTCCAAAGATTGCCTAATAATCCAGCTCTGCTTTTCTTTTCTCCTTTATTTCTCTAACTTGTTTCTATAATGGAGCTGCAAAACTAATTTCAATGTTGCTATTCCTGTAATTTTCCATAAATACTTATTTTCAAGGCCAACATTTTCCATTCCTAAGACTTTTCTAAGCATGGAATTTTGTTTTACAGAAGAGACAAAATTAGCTGGAAAAATATTGCTTAGTTATCATGATGAATGGAAAAAAGACCAGGAGACATTTTTTTCTGAATCTCCAGCTGGAAAAGATAAGCTAAGATGAAAATTTACTGTTTAGAAGCAGCCACACTTAGGGGAAGAATTCTACACAGTTAACTTTTAGGTGAAAAATATACAAGGATATATGCATGTAGTCAGGAAATAATGATATAATAAATATTACTGTCTTTATTATGGTAGGACAACAGAGAGGAGGGAAAAAGTTCTGTAAGCAAATTGAGAATCTTGCAGTAAGGCTTATTTATGCATTTATTAAATTTATTTGCCACTCATCTCATTCCTGCAACTCTGTGACTTTAATAAGTTACCTAAAGCAAATATGTCCCTCACATCTGTAATTCAATAACATTCTTATAAAACAATATACTTCACAAAAAATATTCCTGGGCAACTTCATAAACCAAGAGTTTTTCATGTGGGAAAAGAGAAAAACATGAGTGAAAAAGAAAAAGAAAAGACAACAACCCAAACCAAAAACAGCATGCAAATTTGCGAAGTGTGAATGCTTACGAAATAGCTTCCACCATAGCAAGACCCATCATGATTGAGCAAACAGCATGGTCCTCACGATAGTCTGGCAATCCACAGATGCAGTAGTAGCAGTCACCTAGAATCTTGATACGCAGTTGATGGTATCTCTGTAAGAATGCCATTTTTAAAACAAAAAACAAAAAAACAAGGTAAATGTTTAGGATTTTCAGGTCTCAGAAACCTGCATTTTACTTTTAAACCTATTGTTGAATCATGGAAAAGGCTGCCATGGCTTCCCTGCCTCGTTCATCCTCTAACCCACAATCCTTTCCAATTCTGGTGTACCACACTAACATCCCTAGCTGATAATATATGACTCCAATTACATGTGATTTCTTTTCGGAACCTTAATGCAAAAAAAGTATGCTGTACTTTTGAAGTTATCACAAATAAAAATCCATTCTATTCTTCATGGCTCAAGCACTATCTCAGGTTCTGAGTATGATAACATAAGAAATATTCAGATACATTAGAGTATGTTCAGAGAAGAATATAACATGAATGATCAGGGAATTGCAAATTAAATCATATAGCAAGATTGAAAAACTGAGTGCTCGGATAATTCTTTCCGACAATTCCTTATAGCATTGTGTGTTTCTCTGGGATCACATCATTATGCCCTCTTGTGGCAGCATGATCCCAAGAAAATATCTGATTTAAGAAGTTGCCAACAGGAGTTAAGCAGCTTTTACCTTCTGGCAAAAGTAAATACTCAAACATCTTCCGGAATGTGCTTCCACCTTCATAGTTCTCAAAACAGTCCCCAAAATCTTCATATACTATATTTACTTCCTAAACATTTTTTAACAGTGTAACACTGGAAGTTTTTAAGAAGAGACTGGACGGCCATTTGTCTGAAATGGTGTAGGGTTTCCTGCCTGAGCAGGGGGTTGGACCAGATGACCTCCAAGGTTCCTTCCAACTTTTTTTTTTTTATTATTATTATTATTATTATTATTATTATTATTATTATTATTATTATAAAAACAACAGTGGGAAAATACAGGGGGAATTATATGTGTAACATTCTGTCATCTGAAATCTCTATAACATTTCATGAAGATAGATCGATTTGATAATAAAATCTTCAATCAGAATCACCCTTTGTAATTCTTTTACAAGTTAACCTACAATAATTTACATATTGCTGAAACATTCACTTCTAGTAAGTAGGAGAATAATTTTGGCAAAATCCAAATTGGATAAGATGGCTCCACATTTGTGATAAAAGAATTTGGAGGCTTTATTTTTTATATTTTCTGAAATAAAATCTCATAATTAATTAATTATCACTATTTAATTAAATAACATTGTAATATATGCTAAAGTAGAGTTTTCAGTTTGTTTACTCTTTAGCATATTTAATCTAAGAAATTTCTCAAGATAATAAAATAATTAATTATAGGTAATAGCAATAATACCTTGCAAAATTAATTAATTAATTTGACAAGCAAACATCTCCAAAACAGATCTGGCTGCTAATACAAAATAGTTATCATGAGTCGAATAAAAAATTAAAGTAATGTGCAATAGATCTAAAGTAATTTCTGAAATAATTCTTATTCCAATGCTCATTATAGTAACATCCATGAACACATGTACAGGTAGTCCAATACAACAGTTCATTTAATGACCGTTCGAAGTTACAACGGCACTGAAAAAAGTGACTTATGACCATTTTTCACGCTTATGCAGCATCCTCAGGGTCACGTGATTTACATTGGATGCTTGACAACTGGATCATATTTATGACGGATGCAGTGTCCCAGGGTCATGTTATCATCTTTTGCAACCTTCTGACAAGCAAAGCCGATGGAGAAGTCAGATTCACTTAACAACTGTGTTACTAACTTAATAACTGCAGTGATTCACTTAACAAATGTGGCAAGAAAACTCACTTAACACATTCCTCAGCAACATAAATTCTGGGTTCTATTGTGATCCTAAGGCAAGGACCACCTGTACTTTAAATAGCTGGCATAATCATGTTTATAGCAGCTTCATTCCCCTAAATCAGTGATGGTGAACCTTTTAGAGACCGAGTCCCCCAAAACTGCCCCCGCCCCCATTCCACCCCTTGCCCCGCCCCCACCCCGCCTGCCCGCAGGGCCACTCACCACCTCCAGGGCCCGCCGCAGATCACCCAGGCAGCCCAGCTGCACCATTGCAGCCATGCCCTCTGCCCGCACCCCGCAGCATCAACTGTGCGCGATGGGGTGTGAGGGGACAGTCTTGTCTACGCTGCCTGGCTGCCATGTCCTTGGCTGCGCTGCTCTGTGTGGGCCACGCTTAGGGGTGACTCTCCTCCAGGGGGCTGCTGGCGAGGAGGAGGTCACGGGAGGAGGCAAGGCTGAGGCAACGGCACGTATGCCCACAGAGAGGGCTCTGAGTGCCGCCTCTGGCACGCGTGCCATAGGTTCGCCACCACTGTCCTATATTGTCTTTAGTCCTATTTATGAGATTTTTGATCGTCCTTGTGCAAACATTGCCCTCCAGATGCAATTTCACTACAGCCGCCATAGTCCTAGCCAGATGGCTGAAAAAAACAAATGTATATAGTCAAATCAAATCTCTCAAGCAATGCTATAGAAACCTTATAATTAAAAAGTACTAAATCTATCTTATTCTGATATTGGAATACATTTAGGTATGACATCAGCTGTGCACAGAATCTTGTTTGGAAGTTGAATATATTGCAGTAAGATATGTTTATTTATCCAGAACTTTCAGTATAATCTCAAAAAATGTTTTATATTTGAATGTGGTTCTTGCTGGTATTCTTTATTTTTTAAATATCTAATTTCAGCCAGAATTTTTTAAAAAACATAGAATGGCTCTTTGATAAGAGCACTTTAAAAATGGAGGGAAAAAAGCAGAAGAACAGGAGAAATTAACCTCATCTCTGGTAAATCTTCTCCCCTTTTATTGCTGCATGTATATCAGAATTGTATTTCTCTGTTTCTTCTCCATTTTTAATATGCTTCAAACTACATACAGTCATAATTACAAATAAGAAGGGTAGTTTGGGTTGAATTACACAAAACGTGCTCCAAAGATCTAAAGGATTTCCAGAATTATATGTCAAGCAAATAATCAAGATTGATTAAGAAACTCACAGCTGCTAGTTTATCAAATCGAGCAAAGAGTTCGTTCAAAAGTTTCACCAATTCTTGGGCACTGCATGCGGATGACAGCTGCGTAAAACCTACGATGTCAGCAAAAAGGATGCTGTAGAATGAAAGACATGAGAGCCAAAACAGGTGAGAGGTCATGAGTTAGATTAGCTGCAGCAAAATCAATTTATGATGGCTGTTGTACCATTTGATTTATTAGTCTCTCTCATCTGAAATTCAGTCTCAGTGTCATCAGTCCTTTGATTTTCTGCTTTAATTCTACACCGCATTGATGTTTACTAGCTTCTTCTATTTCAGAAGTGTAGAGTGTTTAAGACATTAGGGGCTGCAACTGACTCCCAACTGTGTGGAGGGCCACAGAAGACTATCTGCTATCTTAATAACACAGTGAAATGACCTAACTATTTTTGTTCAGCTTTTAGGAAAGATGTAAGAGTAGGGTTGGGGTCAGGAGGCTTCCCAGTGTCACATCATCCCATTCCCATACTTAAACTCCTATCACCACAGCAAAGCCCCATATTTGGCTGTTAGGATTTCAATGATACAGGTTCAGGGTGCTGGAAAAAACGCAAACCAGTTTACATAGAGTGACATGAAGAAAACAATTCCCTACTTTTGCTCTGTTGTTTTATTTCAATACTAAGCACAATAATTATATTATTCCATCTGCTTCTGAGCTGCATGTTATGCTGTGATGAATTTGGAAAGTTATTTTGCTTGAATTACTTATTCAAGCAAGTTATTTTTCGTGAATTACGTAGTTGAATTACATAATTACTTTTTCCTGGGGAGACGCTCATTGTGCCCATAAAGATTTACTTCAAATAATGGCTTAGCATTGGATTATATTTTCTCTTTAGTTATTGTGTACTGGTCCAGGAGATGGCCTTGTTAGTACCAGAAGCCATCTACAGAACTCCCTCCTTAAAAGAGCTACATTTGTTACCTGACATTTTCATGGCGATACATATACATGGTATTGAACTGTTGCATTTCTTTTTGGCTTGCATCTTTCTTCATATCCTTCAGCATTTCATCCGCTACATGTCTGGGCAAAATTGAAAGCATCAACCGTTCCTAAAGTGGGAAAATAAATAGACATATTCAAAAGATGGAAGAATTGTTAAAAGAAAAATTAATGCTGTAGCAGATTACCCCAGAAGCATGTAGAAGAGATTTCAGCTACTATGGGAATTTTTTTCTCATCTCCTGGTGAGAAAGAATGAAAGCTCAAAACTCATGTCTTTTATGCAGAAATGTGCTCCCAGATATGAACGATTCAGTAGTGCCCACTCCAGACTCTGATAACTTATGTACTGCCAGGAAGAACCTGTCAGCAGCATCTATCACTGTAGTCTTCTGGGCCAATTGTCACAATAAAGAACTTTTGTAGTAATTCTTGTTGTATTAGCAACTGATCTGGCATGGATTACCACATTCTGAAATCATGAGAGCAGCTTCTGAAAGTTGTTAATTAGGAATCATGAAGGAAAAGCAGCACTCAAATTGAGGTATTATAAAAGGCAGTTAAAAGCAGGGCTTTTTTTCTCATAGAACGCCCAGAACTGAGTTCCGGCACCTTTTTTGGATGGAACCTTGTAGGGTAGGCAAGGCGGGTTGAATGACGTGTGTGAGTTCCGGCACCTTTTTTTTATAGAAAAAAACCACTGGTTAAAAGAGTGCCATGAGTTTTGCATTATGGCTTCTTACCCAGCCCTACAGACAGTATTGAACTGTATAGAAAATGCTTCTTTCAACATGTAAAAAACAAGAAAAAAGTGAAGGAAATGATTGGTCCATTAGTGGGTGAAAGTGGCAAGAAGGTGACAAGCAACAGGGAGAAAGCGGAACTATTTAACTCGTTTTTTGCATCTGTCTTTACACAAAGGGAAAAAACAGACCAACCTATCAAAAATAGTATCATAAAAAACAGAATAGAAACACAAGTTAAGATAGGCAAGAAAATGGTAAGTGAGCACCTGTCCAGCCTAGACGAGTTCAAATCGCCAGGACCAGATGGATTACACCCCAAGGTTCTCAAGGAACTGGCAGATGTGATCTCTGAACCACTGAACTATATTTTTCAAAGATCCTGAAGCACAGGGGAACTACCACAGGACTGGAAAAGAGCTGATGTAGTTCCCATCCTCAAAAAAGGAAAAAAAATGGACCCAGGAAATTACAGACCTATCAGCCTGACCTCAATACCTGGGAAAATCCTGGAAAAGATAATCAAACAACAAATCAACGAATACCTAGAGGCAAACAAAGTCATTACTAAAAGCCAACATGGGTTTGTCAAAAATAGATCATGCCAGACAAATCTTATTGCATTCTTTGACCAAGTGACAAAATTAGTGGATCAGAGGAATGCTGTGGATATAATTTACTTGGAATTCAGTAAGGCATTTGATAAAGTACATCACAACCTACTACTTGACAAGATAGAAAAATGTGGGTTAGACAGCATCACCACCAGATGGATCCGTAGCTGGCTGACCGGCCGTACTCAGTGAGTGGTCCTCAATGGAACCGCATCTACATGGAGGGAAGTGTGTAGTGGGGTGCCCCAGGGCTCTGTTCTGGGCCCAGTGCTCTTCAACATCTTCATCAACGATTTGGACGAGGGGATAGATGGGGAACTCATCAAATTTGCAGA